GGAGGCAGGTAGAGACAGTTGCCGTAGGGAAAACAGATGGGGAGTGATTAATTATCATGAAAAACAATTCCTAATGATAAGAAGAACAAAGGATTGTCCCAAGAAATTTGGTGCTCTTTTCTCCTCATATTCTTGCAGTTTAGGCTTGATGTGTTACTTTTCTTTAGGTCTCTGTTTTCCCCTTGAATCACTATGAGAGTACTAATTAATAATTCCACTCAAAACAGCAAAGAGAAAGCACAAAACTAAGAATTTTTAGCTAGGTTGTCAATAAATTACATGGGAATTTTTCTGATTGCTTCTTCACTTTCGCATTTAAGGTTTGGTGTGCAACTTTTTCCTACTGGGCAGGGTCATTATTTTCCAAGATTAGGTCTCTTACTGTTTTAAGTGCCTAATAAACGTAGTGCTCTTGCTTAAGCTGTTAAGGTTACAAACGGATCGATACTTTGCTAACTCCCATTTGCTATTACTAATTACAGGAACAAGATCTGACAGATGAAAATAATCTCATAGAAAGAGAGGTAAATTAAGTTGAAAATATTCTAGTAAAAGAAAACAAAACGAACTACTCGCCTAATATCAGATATGCACTGATCAGCTTGTCTCTCTGTATCATGAAAACCAGATATCTGCAATCATCAACAATGGCAACCTCGCCAGCCAGCATGGCCGTGTTGTTGAAGATCCGGATTGTGTTCATCCTTCTCCGCTGGACTTGTTTCACTTTTAGCAAGATCTCAAAAGGACAGATGGCGTATCCCGGATGCTTACGTGTGGGGAATAATATATAGGCATTCAGTATACCCACCTGGTGCCAGGTGGTGGTCAAAACAAATTATTAAGCATGTAACTAGTTGCCAGTTGGAAGCACAAGCCTTTACCAAGTGGCACGTCAGCTTACCTATATATATGTCTGCTCAGGATTGGGCCGTTTAGTTGGGTCCCTTATATGCTGTAATAGTAGTGGCTGTGAATAATTGATGCATGCACGGCATTCGTCATTTCTACCACGCATGTGGGTAGATGCCGGGATTGCGAGACCGGTCCGATGACCCTCCAGCTAGTAGTGGCTTCAGGATGGTTATCATGACTACTGTTGTTATTATGATCATAATAATAGCTGTTATTGATGTTATTTCGTAGCCTTGGTAAGGAGAATATATGTTTCTCAGGGACTAGCTCGGGCTATTTTAATGGCCGTCCTACACGGTGTCATATGCAAACTTGCATCCTATTTCTTGCAAAATGCCCTGTAATTTACACTTGTGAGCGGCTTATCGTTGTTTCAAGCACATGACAAGGCATCCATAGTTCTGACGAACATGTCTCCTCCTCCTTGGCCCCTAACCCTGAGACCAGAACGATGAAACAACCTTAGCTGACATCTATATATCTCCTTTATTGGATATTGAAACTGGGAAACTGCCATATGCACAATGGAGAAGTATCATGAAAAATGCTAAACTCGTGAGAGGTTGGAGAACCTCTAGGATGACGTGGCTCTTTGCATGGTTAGATTGATGTGGCAAGTATTGGAGGATGCATGGTGGCTAGATTCTTTGATGCACTCACACAACAAGCTCCCGGCCCTGATGGGATCGAGATCCTTGGATAGCCAAGTTAGAAAAAAGAAAAAGAAAAGTACAAGCCTAAAAAGATGGTACTGTTGGTATTGAAAGAGATGCCATGCCAGAGAAGAGGATGAACAAGGATTGAGAGATGAGAGATTGGGAATACCCCTCCCTGCCTCAAGGCTAGCTCATATAGTCTCTGGAGCCCAGCTATCTTGGTTGGAAAGCAGGGCATAGATGTAAATCCCTTTGCCACTTGTGATCTCAAAGCATGATGATCAGGAGATGAATTTCTAGAATATTCGATGAGATATTGCAAAGCCTAGCTAGACGTACGGTGATATCGTCAACCTGGCAGAAGCACGTGTGTCTGCATTCGATGCATGAAAGCTCTTGGATGCCTCCTCTCTCTCAGAAGGTATTGTATAGGATCAATAGGAGAGTACTAGTACGTGCCTGAACGAACAGGCAACGTGTTGTCTTTTTCTCAGACAACTGTAGGTGGCTCCTAATTCCTGGTATTTAATACTTGCTTAAGGTGTGCTTTTGTGTCTCGGCAGAGGGGGAAATGTTGACTCCCAGTATTCGGAGGGACTGCGACCTTTTTTTCATGGGTTTAAAGATATTTTTTCCTATTTTCAAAGGGCATTTGCCTTTGATGATGATATCTACATAAGCCGGTAGATAATATACCCTGGAAAGGTGACCTAGCTAGAGGATTATATATATACCTGGGCAAGGTAGTTTTCCTTGCGCACCAAATGGTGCTGTGCTGTGCACTTACTCCTTGATGGAGATGGGTCATTGGTTGCCAAAACAACCACACCATCACGATCATATCAATTGTGCTCTTAACTGGCCTTTACTGCCATTTGCTTTTTGCAATTGGTTTGACCTAATAACTCGAGGGGCCAAAATCAGAAGAATAAAAAGGTCAGTGGTTAAGGTGGATTTATTCTTATAAAATAATTATGATAATCTTGTGTTAATGGGTAAGGGGATTGATTCTCTTTATTGATTTCTTGGATTTGACTCTCGGGACCCCCACCTGAGATAAAGGTTTGATTAGACAAAAAGTGTAAATTTGACATGTTATTTTTTTAATTATAAGAATACTCTATTCTCAAAGCAATTACATGAATAAACCTCTTCTTCATTCTTGCAAAATAATAGTTTCTTTGTTAAAGTCTACTTCTTTTTTTTATATATTTTACGTGGGTTATCGGTCAGTTTGCACGCATCACGACTAATCCCCACGGTCCATTGAATACCTTGCAAACCCAGTAAGCATGTAAGACACCGCAGAGGTGATAGGCGTACACGCCAGAGTTCGAACCCAGGTGCAGTGAAAGGAGATAAGCCCCTTCCACCGCTAGGCCAAGCACTGGTTTGTAAATTGTTTGCAAATTTTTTTTCAACTAAAAAAGTCCACCTTTTTTAGTTGTCTAACCTATTGTAAAAAGCAGTGAGACAACAATCAATACTCAGAATTAGCATATTGTTCGCGTAACGTAAAAGATCAATAATAATTTTAAATTTAAATTTAAAAATTACTGTGAATATTTTAAGTATTCTTTGTCTAGGGACCAAACCAAACCCAAAATCTTGAATTCAATAGCAATATTAGACTCTATTGTATTGGGTAGGGTGGATTAGTCAAATCCAATAGCATTGAAGTTGTCTATTTATCTTGGGTCTGGTTATTATAACCATACACAAAATCCTACAAATATAAAATTAAAAATATCTTAAAATATTTTAAAAAAATATATATTGAAATAATATTTTTTTATTTTTTAAAATTTATTATTAATTTTAAGTAAAGAAAAAAATAAAAAAAATAAAAAATTTTAAAAGTATTTTTGAAAAGCAAAAACAAGCATACTTTAATAAGAAAATTCAACTCAACATCAAATTAAAAAAAAATCATCACTCAAATTTTGTACAATATAAAAAAAAATTTCATCAATTTATTTCTTCTTTATAGTACAGAAAAAAAATTAAATTAAAAATATCTCAAAAAAAAATATTAAAAGGAATAAAATTAGTTGCTAGTATATTGATTGTTGCTCTGCTATGTATTATTCATGGTGCTACTGTGAAAAATATTTTATTTGAAAATGATGAAGATGCAAATACATTTGACATTTTTAACCCAACTCAAGCATTTTTTACATTTAAAAAAAATATTTATTGACCCGTTGTAGAGCGTGGACCAATATGCTAACTATTGTATTATTACGTATCATCACCCAAATTTTACACAACATAAAAATTATCACATCAATTTATTTTCTCTTTATAGTATGAAAAAAAATCAATAAGAGAAAATAAAAACCAATAAGGAGAAAAAAATAACATTAGAAATATCTTAAAAGGACAAAAAATAAAAAGAAAAAATTAGTTGTTGGTGTATTAGTCACTGCTTTGCTATGTGTTATTCTTGTTATTACTATGAAAAATATTTTATTTTAATATGGTGATAGTGCAAATAGATTTTGTGCTTCTAACATAACTTAAGCATTTTTACATTTGAAAAAAAAATTGTTATTACAGGCCAATATGCTAGGTATTATATTATTACGTAATTGTTATTTTTTAAAATATTTTTTTAACAAATATATTGAAATAATATTTTTTATTTTCAACATTGATTTTTTATATCATCAATCAAAATAATATAAAAACATTAAAAAATATTAATTTAAATTAAAGAAAAAAATTTAATTATCAATGTATTGAGTGCTACTATGCTATTTGTTATTCATAGTGCTATTATAGAAAATAATTTATTTCAAGATAGTAATGTTGTAAATATATTTTGTGCTTTTAACCCAATTCAAGCATTTTTACATATGAAAAAATAATTCTTATTGACCCCTTATGGAGTGCAGGCTAATATGCTAACTAATATATATTACATAATAGTTATTTTTTAAAAAAATAAGATATTATTTTTTTATTTTTTAAAATTAATTTTTATATCATCACAACAAAATAATACAAAAACATAAAAAATATTAATTTAAATTAAAAAAATAAAAAAATTTAATTTTCTTCATAGCATTTTTGAAAAGCAAAAACAAATATGCTTTAATAAGAAAATTCATCCCGATCTCAAATGAAAAAAAAATTTATCATCACCCAACTTTTGTACAATATAAAAAAAAAGTTTCATCAATTTATTTCCTCTTTACCTTATGAAAAAAAATAAGAGAAAAGAAAAAAATATAAAAAGATAAAAAATAAAATTAAAAATATATAGTAGCCTAGCTAGACCCAATAGCAGCCAGACCAGCTTTTGGCATAGAAAACAGAAAAGACAACGCCCTTCTAGTAGCACTTTTTGACTAAAAAGGAAAAAAGAAAAAGAAAATGCCATTATGGCACTAGAGTGTCGTCTATAGTGCAAACACTTTATGTCTACAGTGTGGTACACAGTACAATGAGTTTATATCCATAGTATATGCACAGTGTTTTTCCTTTGCCTTTTAAAGTAAAGTATAATGTGTGAACTTTTTTCCGATTAATATTAAATTTAATGGTTCAATAACAATTTTTGTTGATATTTAGACTAGTAGTCTGTCAGTACGTATATTACTAATAAACTCACAAATGGAAATAGTCCATCAAAAAAAATCTCATCGGTAGTTTATAGATTGTCGGTGAGTTCGTTAGTAATAAATATATCAATGTATTTACAAATAGACAAAGCATGCTACAAAAAATTTACTCTCTTTATTTCATCGGTATATCCATCGGTAAATATAATATATCATCAAAAAAATATCATTTGTGATTCCATCAGTGTGTTAACAGTAGCAGTGGTATTTGCAATAATTATTTTCCAATTCTCTATAATATACTGATGATATAGTTTCGTCAGTAACTCCATCAATAATGGCATTTACAATAATTTTTTTCAACTCTCTGAAACATACTAACAGGGTTGTGTCATCAGTAACCTTGTTAGTAATATTTTAAAAATAATTAAAAAAATATATTGAACAAAATTAGAAAATAATTAAAATCAAATAAATTAGTATACAAAATAAAATATTTACTACAAATTTATATATTTTTATATTCAAATACAATAAATCTAAAACATAGACAACACTCTAAAGGAGGAGGAGGTTGGTCGTCACTGGGACCGTAGGGCCAATTAGAGGGTGCACATGAACCACCCATTTGTGATTTCATCTTCATTATCAATTAGCAGAGTTCTTCATAATCATCAGTAAGTTATTCATAT